AAAAAAGAAGAACATTTGGCAAGGATGTGGAGAAACTGGAACCCTTGTGCACTGTTGGAATTTTTAAATGGTGCAACTGCTACAGAAAACGGTATAGACGTTCCTCAAAAAATTAAAAATAGAACTATCGTATGATCCAGCAATCCCCATTTCTGGGTAAGTCCACGTTCATAGCAGCCCTATTCACAATAGTCAAGCAACCCAAACGTCTGCTAATAGATGAATAAAGATAAACAAAACGTGGTATATCCACACAATGGAATATTATTCAGTCTTAACAAGGAAGGAAATTCTCAGACATGCTACTACATGGATAAACTCTGAAGACATTATGCTAAGTAAAATAAGCCAGTTGCAAAAGGATAAGCTATTTCTACTTAGATGAGGTTCCTAGAAATTAAGAGATAAAAAGTAGAATGGTAGTCGCTAGGGGGAGTGAAGAGTAGAGATTACTGTTTAACATGTACAGAGTTTCAGTTTTGCAAGATGAAAAAGTTCTAGAAATGAATGAATGGTGACTATTGTACAATGAAATCAATGTATTTAATACCACTGAACTGTACACTTAAAAATAGTTAAGATGGTAAATTTTAAAAATAATTAAGATGGCAAATTTTATGTTTTGTGTAATTTACCACGATGAAAAAGAATAAAGGAAATCCCGTCACATGTTACAATATGGATGAAACTTGAAGACATTTCGCTAAATGAAATCAGCCAGTCACAAACTGTGCAATTTCACCTATATGAGGTATTGAAACTAGTCAAACTCACAGAAACAGGCTGGGCACATTGGCTCATGCCTGTAATCCTAGCACTCTGAGAGGCTGAGGTCAGAGAACTGCTTGAAGGTTAGGAGTCTGAGACCAGCCTGAGCAAAAGTGAGACCCCGTCTCTATAGAAAATAGAAAAATTAGCTGGGCGTGGTGGGGCACACCTGTAGTCCCAGCTACTTGGGAGGCTGAGGTAGTAGGACTGCTTGAGCCCAGGAATCTGAGGTTGCTGTGAGCTAGGCTGATGCCACAGCACTCTAGCCTGGGCAACAGAGTGAGACTGTGTCTCAAAAAA